ATTATTTATATTAATATAATATAAATATAATATATCAATTAATAATATAGGATATAGTCTCGCGTATTTTATATAACAGTTGATTTTAGCACATAATATATTATTATACAATATTGTAATTATGAACACACAGTAATAAAAATATTTGTTATTTATATATTTTATATTTAGTAAATCAATATAGTGCTGATTTTCCTAAATCAACACCATAATCATTCCCGATTTGTAAAATTCGCATCGTTCTTTTTCATTTGGAGTTTGATTTTATTTTTTTATTTTTTATCTTTTGATCTTTTACTTGAATATATATTTTTTAAAGTATAACATTTTTTGTAAGAAATCTTGATGATTACATAGTAAAAAAATCAAATTAAATTGAACTCCAAAAGAATATGTTACGTCCTCAATAAAATTTGTTCTCCGTTTCTTCTTGTGGAGGTAGCCAACACGTTGTCGGTGAACCACGTAAATCTATGTCTTCTTTACGTTTCTGTTTGTTATTCTTTTATCAACCCTAATCCGTCAAAATAATCTGGTATCAGATCATAGTCGTTTCAATCAGGGTTTTGTTTATTTCCGCTCTGCTAGAGTTTTGTGAGTCGATCAACAATGTATGTTTTCACGTAAATGTTGTCAAATTCACCAGAATATATATATATATATATATGTATGTATGTAAGTTGTGTTTGTGAATTGTGAGGTGTGCTCTTTGTCTAATTTCTTTTTCTTGGTGGATGACTTAGATTGTCATATTAAAAGCCCTTCTTGTCTATTGATGTCTATTGACACACACATATACATACATATATATATATACACACACACATTAGATAGAGCAGGTGGGGTGGGGTGGGGTGGGGTTGGAAATTTGTGGAAAGAAATTAATGGGAATGTGAAATGGGGTTTTTTATTTAGAAAGTTTTGGTTGAAATATTAATAGGTTTTAATTTCAATTTTGAAAAATTTTGGAGGTTTTCTACTTAATATTTCAAGATTTTATTCTCATCTAATAATTATTGTGTATCTTGATTAATGCCAACGGTTTTCAAATCTTTTGGATTATGCTTCACAATTATTTTCAAATTTTAGTCATATTTCGAATCGAGGATAAATGTTGGCTAACGGCGACGAATATTCTTAAGAGCATTTACATTACTTGGGGCCTAATATTTTAAAAAATATTTTATTAATTTGTAAATAGTGTATTAATTAATATTTTAATATCATACGAAGAAAATGTAATTAATTTTCGCGTAACGGAGAGAGTATCATATAAAATGATATATTTGTTGGCATAACATGTATAGAGAAATAAAAACAACTTTTAATGATTACTACTTAATATATTTAGCATAAATGAATTATTTTTATTTAAATTGATTGATCATAAGATGTGTTCACCTAACCTAATACTAGTATATATATATATATACATTTTATATGGTTAATATTACAAAATAATGCAATACATATCCACACATCATTTATATACAATATGATATACTTTTCAAAAGTTTAAATATTCAATTATATATATTTTTATATATTATCAAATTTACATTTCTCTATATAAAATATAAAAAATAATTAAACTTAAAACAACACAAAATAAACACACCCATAATAACTTTTTCTCTATATTTTGCATTCCTAACATGATGTGTAATATTTAGAAAAGGAAAGTTTATACATTCCTCTAAACCCTAAATAAACTTAAAGCTAAAGCTAATAATAATAATAATAATAAATAAATATATAAATATATATATATATATATAATATAAAGTATATCATTGTCTGAAACAAGATGGGGCCACTTACCCGTTGGCTTCACAAGTAAATAAGATATGGCCCACTCTATCTTTGACCAATCAAAATCTACCAAAATAAAAAAAGTGGTGCAAATTTTCATGACAATAAAACAATTCAGCTAAACTGCACAAAATTTATATTCGTTTTATGAAATTGCGTCGAATCATCCATACTTCTAAAATTGCGGTAAATTTTTTCGTGGTTTCATTAACTCTATGTCTAACCTCTCGGCAGTTCTTATTTAATAGTATTGATCTAAATACCATTAAATAAGGACGGCTGAGAGGTTAGACGCAGAGTTTATGAAACCACGAGAGAATTTGACGCAATTTTAGAAGTATAGGGGATTTGACAAAATTTCATGAAACGACATGTAAATTTTGTGCAATTTAGCCAAACAATTCAGAATACATAAACTGATTTTTTTGGTAAGTTTATTACTACTATTTTTCAATCATTTAAAAAACATAAATAATTACTATTTCTTCCGTCATACAATTGTATATTTATTTGTTCGGGCATGAATGTTAATAGAAAATAATACTAGTTATTATTTTTTTTTATAATAAAAAGTTATAAGAATGTAATATATTTTTTCTTCAAAAAAACGAGAATATTTTTTTATTACAACCCAAAAATGAAAATGATAGATTTGAACAACGGAATGAGCATTGAATATTTTGGCTTTTGAATGTTCTTGATGATTTTAAATAAGATTTGAATGTTTTTTTATTACAATCCTAAGAGTTTGTTTGGTTTTGATTTGATACGAGATATTTGATTTGAATTATCGATTGAGCATAATATGTAGACCTATATGACATAAAAAATTGAGAGGGTGTAAGCATATTGTAAGTTATGATAACAAAGTTCTCCCATCACATAAACTCAAATATCGTTGATGGCTAGCCAAACATAAATTTTTAATTTTTTTTTTTTTTTTTACGACGTAAAAATTTACAGTGGTTACTCTTCAAGAGTGTTTTTGGTAAATTTATACCAAAATCTAATAGTTAGCAAATTAGACCTTACAAGACAAGCGAACATTAGGCGAACCAAATTTAACAAACAAAACCTGAAGTGTCAAAGGCTTATAACCTCACAGTCGCAAGTCTATCCCACACCATTAGGTCATCTCTTATATAAACAAAATATGAATTAAGTCCGACAAAACAAATCATACTAAATGAATCATACATGATAGACAATACTTGAAAACGTTAAAAATTTGAAATCATAACGTTACGATCACAAATTCACCCTGTACCACCAGACTATTCCTTACAAGATGAACCAAACATCAATTTTTTTATTTTTTATATATAACATGAGAATCCGCAACCGCTATTTTTCGAGTGCACAATAAACGAGCAAGCCCCGGCCAAACTTAAAATCAAATATCAATTTTAATAAAAGGGTTGGTGACTTTTTCTTTTTAACAGCCATATGATTAATTTATAAATGAAAATTGAAAGGCAGTCAAAGAATATAGCTGCAAAATTGATCTTCACCTTATGTGGCTCTTGGCCCCACTCAATACTTATCTTTTTCCTCTTTCCACATTTGCCCCTTCTTTAATTTTACAATCTTTCGAATTTTGCCCCCTTAATTATCCATAATTACTCTTCTTTTCAAACTTCAAAATTGCAATAAAAATGGGGACTATGCACTGAGTTTATTCACAATTATGTGATATTATTAATTTAAACATGTAACTGAAATACTATTGGTAAAATAGTCATAAATAATTAAAAAGAGGATGGAATAAGTTTAAGGATATGTTTACACAAAATTAAAAGATTGCAAAAAAAGGGATTCTGATCATTGTTACATATATATATATATATATATATATCTATATATTCCTTAAGACAATCTTTACTCAATTGCTTTAATTGAAGGTTTACATTAATTTAGTGTATCTTATAGTTTATCAACCAAATATGCTTTTCTTGCTACTTTAATCACACATTTGATCCACACCTTTGAATTCCATATTTGGGCTTTAATAATAGTAATAATAATAATAATAATAATAATAATAATAAGGTTAAATTGTACTAAATCTACATGTAATTTTATAAAATTGCTTCAAATTTGCTGTACTTCTAAAACTCCCTTAAACTCCCTCGTGGTTTTATAAACTTTACGTCTAACCCCTTCGACGGTCCTTATTTAACGGTATTTGACATAAATGCGCTCAAACTGCGAATACATTTTAAAATCTCAATTTCTAAACCCCTAAAATTACGAATATATTCATGTTTTTATATTTAGCTTCAAAAAATAGTAAATATACTCAAAAATAGTTGTTTTTTTTTTCCAAGTTTTAAGAGTTTTTTTTACTGATTTTTTAGGCTAAATATAAGAAAAATATATATTTTTATAATTTTAGGGGCTTAGAAGTTGAAATTCTAAAATTTATTCGCAATTTGGATGCATTTAGATCAAATACCGGTAAATAAGGATCGTTGAGAAATTAGACGCAAAATTTATGAAATCAGAAGAGAGTTTGACGTAGTTTAAATTAATTAATTAATTAATTAATTAATTAAACTTAATATAAAATATAATATTAGAAATAAAACATATATATAAATAATTAATATATAAATAGTTATGATATATAAATATTATATTTAGTTGAGCCCAAAGGCTAACCCACTTTAACTAACAGACAATTTGCGTTAATACTAATAAATTTTTATTATTCATCATATTATATCAAATATTATTTTAAAATTAATTTTTAAGGGCATATTTCGTTTCAATATCTACACAATTTTTTACGAACTGAACTATAATCAAAACAATAAAAATGCTACATTCTTAAAATTCAAATCCAAAACGAATGGACTATTTATAACTTTTCTAGCCCAACTTGAAATTTCTTTAGTGGGCCTCATAAAATATGGTCAAATAAGCCCAAAATCACTTATAACCAAAAAGCTCAAAACTGCCTCTTCTTCACTAGATTCAAGTGTTCATCACTTTTAACATGCAAGATGTTCCGGTTTGTTTCTTTTGACATTAAACCAATATTTTTACTATTTGAATTCTACATTTTTCGAAAATAAAAATATATTTTTATTCTCACAAAAATAAAAATCCTCTCAAAACTTATCGAAAAAAACATACCCGAATGAATTTGTCACATGAATCAATGCAAGAACAACGATTACGTACAAAAAAACGAACCTAATTGTTATTCCGGCCGACGATCGGGAAATTTCTAACGAAAGAACATCAATCTAAGGACATTGTAATCTCCTGTGAAATCTTTGTAGATCAAATGGTGAGATATTTCTATTTAGAGCTAGATCCTAAATTCGATCCCTAGATACACATGTGTGAATGTTTGATAAATGAACGCCGATGTGGATGAAACTCGTCTAGTCCCTTGAAGCGATCTTGTCCACTGTTAAATAATCATCTTACCTAAAAATTCAAACTTATAGAAAAACGCATCATTAATTACATATATACTGTGAACGACGTCGCATCCAACGTTGTCTCATTTGCGCGCGGAAGGGGCGCGCATATGTTTGATAAGGATTCCCGTCCCGATGTTAGCCGATGTATCTATAGCCATGGCAGCAGCACGGGCCGCGATTTCCTCGTTTTTGTGAGCTCTACACGCCGAAAAAAACGCTGCCCAAATAGCGCCGTTCGGCTCCATCGGCATCGCGCTAATAAAATCAAGAGCTTCCTCGAGCAACCCGGCCCGGCCCAAAAGATCGAGCGCGCACCCGTAATGGACAATATGCGGAGTAATCCCGTGTTCTTGCATCGCGTCGAATATATTCATCCCTCGCTCGACTAAACCGGCATCGCTACACGCCGTCAACGCAGCCGAGAACGCAACCTCGTCCGGCCGGGTTCCTTCCCTCACCATTTCATCGAACAAATCCGCCGCATGCTCGCCGTTCCCGTCGACGGCCGTAGCTCGAATAGCAGCCGTCCATGCCGAGACGTCCCTCTCTGTCATACTACGAAATACCTCCATCGCGCTTTTAGGAGCCCCGCATCGAGCAAACATATCGACAAGAGCCGTGTCAAGACGGACATTGCGACGAATACCGTACTTCTTGATGTAGTTATGTATCCACGTTGCCAAATTCAACGCGCCTAAATACCCACACGCCGCGGCGATGCTCACCATTGTCGCTTCGTCCGCGACGATCCCCTCGCTCTGCATCGAACGGAATAGCTCGACCGCATCACTAAAGAAACCGTGATGAACAAAAGCGCCGATCATCGCATTCCATGTAACAATGTCCCTCTCCGGCATTCGATAAAACAGTCGCCGCGCCGACTCCACGTCGCCGTTCCCGGAAAAACCTGTAAGCAGAGAATTCCACGACACGACAGACTTGTTTGCCATTCGATCGAAGACTCGACAAGCCCACAATTGATGCCCACACTTCGAGTACATATCGATTAAAGAATTCCCGATACTTTCCCAACTCTCGAGCCCGTTCCTCACAACATAACCATGAGACTGCATCCCGAAACAAACATCGCCCGTCTCGGCCGACAATGCGACAATCGACAGCACCGTAACTCTATCCGGCTTCAACCCCAGTCCAAGCATTTCCCGGAGTACATCGCCGGCTTCCTTCACCTTCCCCAACTTAACATAATTCGACAAGATCGTATTGTAATGAACCAAATTCTTAACCAAACAACGATCGAAAATTCGCCTCGCTATCGCCTCGGCGCCGCATTTCATATACATATCGACAAGTGCATTCACTACAAAGCCATTGATGCTCGATGATTCTCCATGTCCAACACGATCCAAAACTCTCTGTCCTAAATCCAAATCCCCCAATTTCGCACAAGATGAAATCACACTCACTAATGTAACTTCATTCGGTTCGATTCCCTCGTCCACCATTTCAGAAAACAAAGAAACAGCCTCCTTATGTCGATCCCTTCTCGCATACCCACAAATTAAACTCGTCCACGACACAACATTTCTCAGAGGCATTTCGTCGAACACCTTCCGTGCCAAATCAATTTCCCCAAACTCCCCGTAAAAATACACCAATGAATTCATCACGAAAACATCATTACGAAAACCTAATTTCAAAAGCGTACCGTGAATCTGTTCGCCTTCGAAATGCATCAGGCCTTTGGCGCAAGCACTCAGCACAAAGGGGAAAGTATAATTGTCAGGCGCAACACCCTCCATTAACATATCTATGTAAACCAAAATCGCCTCTGCAAACGCCCCGGCCGAAGAGCTTCCTCTAATTAAGGAATTATACAGATAAGCTGTACTGCAGAAATCGTCTCTCCTGTGCTTATATATTTCGAACGCTTTGCGTGCGGATTCCATGCTTTCATGAGAGCACATTCCCGAATACTTCACAACGAATTTAGCCAGAATTCTAGGGTCTTCCATGAGGCCATGTTTTGTGCACTGGCCCTGCACTTGTCTGATTTCGGGGAGACTTGTGCACCACTTCAGAGGCTCGAACTTGCCGTTGGTAATATGCTGGAATTGAAGATTTTGAGGATCTGCAACAGGAGAGGAAGGATCAGTCAGTAGAGGAGGGAAGAAGACAGTACCGGCAGACGCCATAGCCATTTGCGTTCCAACTGCTCGGCGAATGTCCTGCGAGAGATTTATTTATAAGTTATACCAAGTAAAATCGTCAGAATTTAAAGGTGCGATTTTTGGCCTCTCAATTTCGTTATAAGCAGAGTCGCGTTTTTCTTAGGCCCTAAATAGTCGTCGCGCTAAAAAAAGCTATGCTAAAAATATCAAAATGATATACGATATTAAATTTTTTATATATATCAAAAATCGATATAAACTAAATATATAAATATTTTACGAGAAAGACTGTGTTCCGGGCTAGTCCAGTTGCCATCCCTATTAATACATTATACATAAATTCAGCTGCAAAAGTAAATAATATTATTGACAGGTAGGCAGTCGTCGGAAGGAAACTCTGGCCGGCAATGCAACCTTGGATCAGTAGCTACCGAGGATCTTCGAAATAGCTCTAATGGTGTTCGGTGTAGTTCTGCAGCAGCCTCCGATTAAAGCAGCCCCAGCAACGCGCCATTTGCCAACGTACGACACAAAATCTTTATCGCCGTTGCCGGTAGATGGCTTCAAGAGAGAAATAAGAACATTTTACTATCATAATTAGAATGCTAATTACCTTTATCGGTATGATATATAACACATGATTCATGATTTCAATTAACACGACAGATTGCTAGAGTTAATTGAAATTATGTGATGTCAGTTTATACAGCTATATTAATATGTTTTATACTAAGATCAATAACAATATAAGATGTATTGTATAAACTATTATCATATGTTACCAGTATACTGTATGAATTCATTCAGCATACTAACAATTTAGGCATTTCCCAATTAGATGAATCAGCACAAGTTTTGCAAAGTTGAAGAAATATTATTTACCATCCATTCCTTTTTTACGGCATCATATGTCTCGCCGCTGTTGGGGTACACGAGAATTGGTTTCTTTGTCGCCTACAAGGGCAATAAAGCTCTATTATTGACAAACAACATATGTATACGGGAATGAAAGTAATCACCTAATTCAGGGAATAAGTACCTTTCGAATTGACTTGATTAATCCATGAACATGTCGTGGAGCCGTGCAATTGATCCCGACTGCAACAACTTTCTCACAAGAATCAGCGATAGATGCACAATCTTCAATTGAATCACCGCTGACGACATTGGTGTCATCTTTGCAAGTGAAGGAAAACCATGCCGGAACGTTGATGGTCTTCTCCTCAAGAAGCTCTGCATATGCCTTTCACATCCAAAATTTGCAAAGATAGAACTAAAATTTAAAATCCAAAATCCAGAAGAACGATCGTCGCATTCCATCCTTTCATGGCAATCACTAATTTATATCTAACTCTGATCACAAGATATCAATAGTTTTCAGTTTCAAAAATCACCATATTCATCTTTGAGATATCATGCAGTTGAATTAAGTACCAACATACCTTAGCTTCAAGTTTATTCGGAATAGTTTCAAATGCAATCAAGTCGGCACCAGAATCAACCAAAATCTGCACCCTTCTACGGTGAAAATCTTTCAAGGTTTCTACACTTATGTCACATCCATAAACTCCTCTGCAAGTCAAAAGAGAAACAATATAAACCATCCAAAGTATCCAAAATTATTCAAATGTCGAACAAAACGAATGGCGAATTTCGCAGTTAACAAACCTATACTCAGAACCATCTGCTAGATAAGCTCCATAGCTTCCCACAGAAGCAGCAACCAAAACCGGATGCTGCCTTATAATTCCATCTCCAGAAATGTCGAATGAGCCTTTGTTGAGTCTGTTGTGATATAAATCTCGAGCCTCGCAAGCTACCTTAACACTTTTTTCTAGCAAGGCTTCTCCTTCTCTCCCGAAAATGCCTCGAGCTTCAAATCCCTGCAGAGTAGCCTGCCTCGCATACAAACCAGATTCCAGAAAAAATCACGTATAAAGATTATTATATATTTCGCCAGAATTAATCTTGATGAATCTAAACATGGAGATTTGACATTGATAGCTTCAATTACCTGATAAGAGGCAGATATGATGATATTTGCACCTGCTTCGAGATAATCCAAATGAACCTATTTGCAGACAGCAATTCTGTTAGTATCTCCACAACTTCACTGCTTTGCTAATGATCATATTCCTAAATCCCTAATTTATGTTCCTCTTTACTTTCAAATTTACCAGCCCGTGTATGGCTAGCATCAATTCGCCATTTTAGAGTTCTCCACGTATCTATCTGGAGAGAATGCTAACTAACACTAAGTGATTGAAACTATTGATTAGATTAACCAGCAGCTGAGGAAAATTGATTTGAACACTGAAAATTCATCGATTCATTTTCGAAATAGATTTACAGTGGTAATCTGTCACGAAATCCCCACGCCAAATCATAAAATCCACAGATAAATTTTCAATCAGACTGCAATAGTGCAATTCATACTCAAATTTCTGGCATAACTCTACTGGATTGTTATCTTAAATCAGGTTTTCGCGGAAAAACATGGAAGATGCTTCGAGAAACTACCGTACATCTGCAAGTGAGGCGGTTACCTTGCTAATTAGATGAGGCGAAGTTATGAGGCACTTAGCACTCCAAAGAGGATCCTTGAGATCAGCGCCGTGACGCTCGAGCTCCGTCGATAGTCCGCCGTCGATGACGGCGCATCCACCGCACTGACGAAGGAAACTATGAAAATCTGTTTTCAGAGCCATGACTCAATCAGAATTGGTCGTTCACGAAAACTCCTTGCGTCTCTAGCCGTAGCACCGCCGCCGCCGACTGTAGCGGTGGCGGAAGAGTATTGGTAATATCGGAATCAAAGGGAGAGAAGAGAAGCAAAGCTGGCGAAAGAAAACTGAACTGAAGCTAAATTTGAAGGCAGACTAATACACACATACAGGCGACACTTCGTTGACGTACACCTATACATACACAATACGTATACTCATGACACGTGTCATTTTCTGAAAATATTTGTATTTTTTTATATTAAAAAGTAAATACCAACCACTGTTTTATTATGAATACACATAATAATACCGTCCAAATGCAGATCCTAACGCTCAGTAAAAATGTAATCTAATTATATAAGGCTATGGAAATAAATTGAATAAAATATATTTTCGTGTCTCATTGAAACGTTGTCATTTTTTATTTTCGTCTTTACAAAATAAAGTTATGATTTTCTTATTTATTAATTGTACTACCTATATAACATAATAAATACCCTTCAAATTTATACTATATTACATAAATATCATTACTTTTATATTACACAATACTAACAATGAAATATTTTTATCTTTTTCGCTACAATTCATTATAATACTAATATTCAAAAATTTACGTCAAAAAATAAACGACAACCTTGCACCGGAACAAATGAAGTATTAGATATTATTCATTATATAAAAAATAAATAAAAATCAACCATTCATTTTATTTGTAACTTAATTTTTATAAATTTTGAAATGAAGAATTGACTTTATTTTATTTCACAAATAATATTTAAGACATCTCATCTTATTTATTTTTATATATTAAATTATACATGTATGTACAAGTTTTTTTTTAATAGTGATAGTGTTTTTTTATTTACTTTTTTAATGTAATAAAATAAAAATTTAAAAAATAAATAAAATAAAAAGATATTTAATATATTTGTAATAAAAATACACTAAATATGATTTAATTAATTTTAAGAAATAAAAATTAAAAAAAAAAAACTTTTTTGGTCAGTCAACTCTCATTTAAATAGTTTCTTTCTATTTATTCCTATTTTGTTTCTATTATTTCTATTTACTGTTATGGTAGTTGCTTGGTTTACTCTCATTTATATAGTTTCTTTTTATTTATTTTTATTTTCTTAAATGTTAATTGCTTAGTTCACTCTCATTCAAATAGTTTCTTTTTTATTTATTCTTATTTTAATTATATTTATTGTGATGTTAATTGTTTGATTTACTCTCATTTAAATGGTTTTCTTCTATTTATTATTATTTAATTCTATTTACTAAAACAATATTACGATTCCACATTTAGGATGCGTTTATTAAATTAGCTATGGTAATAATATTATTTTATTAGCTTCTAAATATGCTGAGAGCAACTGTTGTTTTACCAAATAATATTTAATCTAAGTGTACATTGCATGCTTACGAGAGATATCGCAATGTTACATTGTAGGACACCTCCAATTTATATGGTGTATATATATATTTTTTTGATAAGATCATTCTTGCTTATCAATGTTTTTGAAATCTTTTTCAAAAATTTGTCCTTTCTGCAAAATATAAGCTTGACATAAATATTGCTACACAGTCTTGATGTACAATAGAATGTAAAACGGTATTCTGAATAGAGATTTCATTATTGGGTTGACAATTTTCTTAAATATTGTATGACCAGTCCGAAGGTGTATAGGATTAACGTTAACATAAGATGTCCATATAAGCATTACAAGAATATAAAATGTATTCCTATTGACGAGGTTAAATACCATATGCTCTCAAAAGAATTCGTGCATTTTTATGAAAAATGAGCATGTCATATTGAAGAACATGACGGTAGTAGTATCTCTACTCAATGAAACAAACAAGTGTCAAATATTTTTGTCGAAGCTGCAATGGATTATTACACCTAAATGGTGATAGATGCCTGAGGTCTCGATTTTTAAGCACGGGTAGTGAAAGCTGAAGAACCGAACACAAAAGATAAAAAATTATATGGACTTTCCAGTGCAGGTGACAAAGAGTTGCGGAGGGTTGCACAAAGGCAACTTTAATATCCGTTGTGGCGATGATGCTAACTATCAAAGTGGATTCCAACGTGTCAATTAATGTACGATATCATGCCAGAAGCTAATTGCTTCGTGAAAAATTTTTATGAAACAAAAAAATTGATTGAGGTTTGGAATTGCCCGTGCAAAAGATTGATTATTGTCAAATATTATTCTGGAAAAATAAGAGTAGTTAGATTGTTGTAAATTTTGTGAAAAACTGCATTATAAAGTAAAAAATAAGCGATAGCAACTGATACGATACGTGTTATAGTTGCTGATTATACAAAGTTGAAGCGTCTATTTGTATACGGACAACTTCGAATATACGGTGGCATATGCGTCATCGTCATGCAAATGAAAATATGTTATGCCACCCGAGTAATACAAAGCTTGAATACATCTCGATCCGATGAATTCCAACCATTTGAACAAAAAGAAAGACAATATTTGTTTAGATACATTATTAATTTATTATTATTTAAATAAAAAATGCAAACACAAATGTAAAATAAAAACAAACACATCTTTATGTATATTTTTGTCTTTTAATGAGATTTGTGAGAGGTTTTATTTTATGATATTAGTTATTAGATGTACTCTATTTACAATAAATAATTTTATTCATTCATAATTTTATTATTTTTATTATAATAAATAATAATTAATATGACATTCTATTTTTTATTTATACCGACGAAAAAATATTATTTTCTATGAAAAATCAAACCAGCCCAAAACTTCTAGCTATAACAATAATTAAAAAATAATAATAATTATAGTTTTAATTGTAATATTATATCATAAAGAAACTAAAAGGAAAACAAAAAAAAAAAAGAAAAAAAAAAATAAAAATCACTTGCAGCCAAGAACAGCCGAGAACAGTTCATTACAACTCATGAAAAACTTGAAATTGAGAGAGAAGAAATATGCAAAAAAAAAAGTTTCATTCTTTCTTCCTCAGGGACCTCTCGCCGGAGCAAAGCAAAAACAGCCGCCGGTCTGGTCTTCCGGTATCATGCCGCCGCCTTTGCTGGTGTCGATCGCCTCCAACAACTTCACAACCTCCTCCATATCCGGCCTCTTCTCCGGGTTCGCGTCCCAGCACTTTTTCATAATGCTCGCCAGAGAACTCGGACAACACCGGGGAATCTCCGGCCGAAGATTCTGTTGATCGATTATGAGGACGGGCAAACAACATATTACAATGGATGCAAGATAAATCTCCGACGAATGTAATAATGCCGCAGAGGATCGATCTATTCAGAGTGTTTATTTTTTCTTACCTGTCGAACGACCATGTAGGAAATGTCGGCGAAGCTACGGTCTGTGTAAGGGAGATCGCAACAATACGTTTCCCATAAGCAGATGCCGAAGCTGTAGACGTCGCATTTTCGGTTATATGGTTTCCCGTCGAGTACCTAACCATACGAGATATGTTCAAGTCAGATAAATAAAAACAACCGAAAATGAACAGTGAAATATAAATCACAAAGTACAAAATTTGTATTAATATAATACAAATACAGTATATAAATTGAAATGTACTCCCTCCGTCCGTCCCATAAGAAGGTTATCATTTTCTATTTTTTTCCGTCCCTAAATAAGGGTACTATTTCATAATTTAGTAATTGTACTAGGCCATTTCCAACCCTCAACTTCATTGCAGTTGCTACAGTAAAAATTTGCAGTTGATCTACAGTAATTTTACTCCAACCATAAACTTCAATTTTTACTTTAAAAAGTATATTCCCTATATATTCCTCTTTTATATTATTTTATATAACTTTTCATATTTATAAATTACACCTCAACTTTAATTTATTTTTACATTAGATCCATACATATATAATTTATAAATTATTTAAAAATTACATATATTAAAATTAACATTTAAAAAATAAAATTATATATTACTTTCTAAAAACTAAAATTATATCACTTTTAAAAAATAAAATTATACATTATTTTTTTTAAAAAAAATAAAATTACATACAACTTTTTAAAATATAAAATTATATATCATCTACTAAAAAAATTAAAATTACACAATACACCAAAAAAATACCAAAAATATAAAAAACACCACAAAAACTCCACTCCAAAAATAGAGTGGAGATTTGGGGGTGGGTTGGAGCCCCTCCCCCATTTTTGGTACAAATGCAGTGGGTTGGAGATGATCTTTAGTACAAATGCAGCGGGTTGGAGATGATCTTAACATAATAAATACACTTACAATCTACAATATATTACACAAATATCATTACTTTTATATTACACCATTTTTTTCACTACACACCAATATAATATTGATATTTAAAAATCTATTTTTAAAAAGCAAATAGTACTCTTATTGCTTAACCGATGTAATATAACAATAGACTATACTACATATAGTAATACAGTGAGAAAATATAAACTGTGAGTTAATTGAAATCATATGTCTGATTTTTTTTTCATATGCTGATTAAGATAATCAATATAGTATTAATAACTTCTAATTAGTAATTATCGCAACATTCTGCAACAAATTTTCAACATACCTCCGGCGCCATGTATCCAAGAGTTCCCGTCTCGCCCGTCATGTCCCTCGGATTTTGCGCTTCGACGCGAGCGACGCCGAAATCCGCAATTTTCAACGTCCTATTAGAATCCAAGAGCATATTTTCGGCTTTGACATCTCGATGCACAATTTTCTTCGAATGTAAATAGCTCAACCTACGCGTCATATTTAAAACATAAACGAATCATCGTTGAATATATATAGACAAGAAGAATATGTTGAACTTACCCTCGAGATAGATCCAAAGCAAGCTTGACGACGTCTTTAAATGGAAGCTTCTTCTTCCTATTCTTAAACAACAAATGCTTCAGCGTCCCTCCAGGCAGAAATTCGACGACAACACAACACGCCCTCGACGGGAGACTCGTGTAGCCTTGAGAAGGATCTTTTTCCGGAACTTTCAACTGCGAAGTCCCCATCGATGCGCCGATGAACTGTAAATACGAATCCAATGCAACTAAAAGGGCATTAATCGAATCGCTTACAAAAATAACCGATTAGGCATTTCAAAATCGCGAAAGAAATATTTACTCTGGTAACGTTCGGGTGGTCGAGATTTTGCCAAACACCAACCTCATTCTTGAACGAGGCTCGGAGCTCCGCAGCTTCGGCAACTGTTGCGCAGCCCCAATCCAATAGTTTCACTAAATCAAATTACGATTAGAAATTCGAATAAAAAACAGGGCTCGACAAACAAATCCGATCCCGATCGATCAAATTTATTCACCTAATCCAACACAAAACGATTCAATCAATTCCGGCAAACAAAATTTCTCAAATTATATATATAGATATATATTTTCTATTTATAAATATCACTGTCAAATATTATTTAAATACAGAATTCAAAACAAATCTTCCCGATCCAAACCCAAAAAACACACTTGAGTTACAATTAAAACTTTTGGCTCGAAAACAAAGCTCAACAACCAAATTCATATATCAAATTTCATCACCTAATCAAAAACAAAATGATCGACAAACAATGAATTGCAATTAAAACTTTCATATAAAAAACAGGGCTCAACAAAAATGAATAAATCAATTCGCGCAAACATCGATCGATAAAATTGAATTAAACATAGAACTTTTGGATCGAAAACATGGTTCAACAAACAAATCCATAGATCAAAGTGATTCACCTAATCCAACATCAAACAATATAATCAATTTGCTCCAAAGATAAACATGGAATTACATCAAATTTTTCTTCACCTAATCCAATATAAAACGATTCAATCAATTCACGAAAAAATCGATCGATAAACATTCCAAAGATCAAATTTCTTCACCTAATCCAACACAAAAAAATTCAACCAACTGCGTAAACACTGATTACTCAATCATCAAGCAAACATCGATCAAACATTGCTCGTAAACATAGTGCATTGCAACATTAAATTTAGGACATAAATCGAGCTACCTCCGACATCCTCGGAACCATAGGTTCCGCGATAAACTGTTCCATAGGTCCCCTTGGCGACGAGATATCGAATTTTAAGCTTCGAAGGATCAATCTCCCATGTCTCTTTAGGCCCGGGATCGCCATTGTTCTTCGACCAAGCTCTGGTCAAATGCCTCTCTAACTGCACATCTAAGTTCTTCAGATCGATCATATCTGCCCTGAAAATCATGTCCTTGCTGCTAATGCTGCCGACGCTCTTCGAATACGACGATGATGGCTTGTCGGATTTGGACATCTCCTTCTTCCTCAAATCCTCCGAAGCCTCGCCGGGGGTGTCGGATTTGGACATATCCCCACCTTCCTCACTCGAGCTTGCTTCCATATTCTAACAGAAATCTGAACAATAATAAATCGATTTTTACGAACAAATTCAGCACCAAAATTTAAAAACCCAATCTATTTTCATCGGAATCGTCCATATATAAAATTAACCCACACAAATTAGAAATTCGTGAGTAGATTTAGATTAACCCTAAAACCAAAAACCAATTTGGAAACACTAAAACCCCGTCAAACCAAAAACTTCGAAAATTTAATGGGGGATTTGGAATGTACCTTTGGGTAGATTCGAATTGGGGAACGAATCAAGGAACAAAATTCAGACCAGAATATATCAAAAAAAATTATTTTATGGGGAGATTGATTTACGGGGAGATGAAATATATCTGGGAGGGATGGAAATTGCGCGAGGCTCGCCGGAAATTGAGGGTTTTCAGTTGTAATTGTTTTTTTTTTTTTTTTTAATATATCGATGGTTTTTTATTTTAACAACGTAGAGAGCGCCGAATCGTGCTTGATGATGTGGGGTTTATTAGCTACACCCGGGATCTCGAATCCTGGAATTTATACATTTGTGGTTTGGATTTTTCTGGAGCTTGGGTCCTGGAGTTGGAATATTGAAGGAACAAGTGTACGGTTCCGTGCTTGCAGTTTGTACTTAAATACGGTCTTCAGGGATGTGGTATATCAATGAGTGAATGTACAGAAATGCCCTTAGAAAGAATGCCCTGGATTGCCGTTGGATCGTTGTAACTTTAGCGGGGATTTGACGGTCGGATGAGATCATGTTTGTTTCTTTTGATTTTGTTAAATTTTTGTTGATTTATTATTATAATAATACTATTTAAAAATATTTTGTAAAAATAAATAAATTAATATTTTATAAATATATAATATAATATAATATAATATTTATTTTAATATTTTTATATTTACTAATTGGCCGATAAAATATTTTTTTTCTATAAATTCAGAATTTAAATAGATTAAATAATTGCAGCAGTACGCTAGTATTTAGGTCGAAATTTTATCGAATAAACATTTTTTAATAGCGATGGCAAATTTTTATATTATTAAAAAAAATAAAATAAAATAAATATCAAATTATACTATAATATAAATAATTATTAAAAAAATGTATCTACTATTCATCTTATGGAAAAAACATGTTCTTCACAAATTTTATAAAATCTTATAACATCAAACATAGGCCGAGGATATATAGCTCAAGCATGTTGAACTCTTACAACTTCGATCTCTGTCGGATGCGTGAGTGTGTGCATATATGAAATTTCAAAAATAAAAAATAAAATAAAAATTCTAAATCGAATCTCGAATCGACGACGAACAAACGCCCGGCCGGAGCTTAGCCTTTCGTCCGAACAATCGTTATGCTACCTTTTCCACCTTCCGTTCGAATCTTAGTTTTCCCGACTACGGGTTTCCCCGAGAACGCCGATTTCGGGTAGGCCTCGCCAGATTCTCGTCCATCTTTGTAGTGATTCGGCGTCGGGGCGTTAATTTGCTCGTTTATGTCTTTGAGCGTTGTAACGCCGAGCCCGTTGCACGGTTTGATGATGGTGAACGGGTACACGATCAAAGAAGTGGCGAGTTTCCGAGGCCCGGGTGTGAAGTTCTTTGGACCTGTTTAGTCGGAGAAAATAAGATTAACAATCAAAAGATTGTAACGAATCGAGAAAAACGACGCGATGGAAGGTACCTTTGATAACGATTTTTCGAGGAGTTTGAACGGATTCGTTTTGAAGAACTTCAGTATCGTGTTCGGGAGGAGCGTTTCCGGAGAGGTCTGCGCTAATGCAATGTCAATGAGAAAAAGAACATTAAACGATGATCAATGCCACAAAATGTAAATTTTCGTTACCCGTAACGTCGATCTGTGCATCGGAAGCTCCAGAAGCGCATCCGTCGCTGCTGCTGCGGCTCGTACAAAAATTAGAGTTAGAATTTCAGTACAATTTCGAACGACAAGACGATAAACGAACGAGCATACATATTTTCAATGTCGGGAATCTCTAAATCGTTTAAGCAGTCATCAATCCAGCTTTCCGGCAACGAATCGAAAAAATCATCGGCAGGCGCGGATATGTCCTCTGCAAGCAACGACATTGATCGTTAGATTAACGATCAGCGCCGATATATAATAAAAGTTCGAGAGAAACCTGAAAAACCGGCGACCCATTGCGACATTTCCGATAAGCCATCTTCGAGACAAAAAAGTGTCTCCTGAAACAAACATAGAAGTTATGCTAATGCTTCAAATTACCGAATCCTAAAAGTCGCATTCGAATCAACCTTCGATCCTAAAAGACTTTCGTCGTTTAAAAGATCCACGTCGCCGATTTCAGGCTCGAAGTTCAGCATCCTGCGCTTTTTCGATGGCGGCTTCCGGATTTCGTCGAATTCTTTCCTCGACACATCTGCAATTTGACACATAATCACTCACTAGTCAGCACAAAGCGCAAAAAGCAAAAAAAAAGTTCGAAAAACCATACCATTTCTCGTTACGCCGTATGGTAAATCTCCGCAACACTTTGCGGGCGTAGCAGGCGCGCCGAGCATATCAATGTTGGAGAGATGATTTTCACTACCGACACATTTAGGTACATCGGCCCCTAATAGCAACGAAAGAAAAACGTAAATGCGACGACGGAAGAACTTTCGTAACGAGCTAATTAGGCAAGCAACTCAAACAAACAAACATAACGAGTAGAAATTAGAGGGACCGAGACGCACCAATGCACGCATTGTCTTTGAGGTTATAATCTTCACATTGCCATTGCCATATCACACTACGATAGATGAATTCGAGTTGTTTACAACACTATCCGTAAAATCACAATGACATATCTCGCTAAAATAGATGCGATTCGAAAGAGTTACAATACTACTGCAAAATCACAATGCCGTATAACAAAATTTGAGTGATTTACAACACCATCCACAAAATAACAATGTCATTTCTCACTACAATAAACGAAAACCGAGTGATTTTCAACACTATTCCCGTAATCACAATGCCATGCAACGGGCAAAATTCGAGTGATTTATAACACTATCCACAAAATCACAATGTCACGCAACATAAGAAATTCGAGTGATTTACAACACTATCCGCAAAATCATGATGACATATCTCACTACAATAAACGAAATTCTCGAGTGATTTACAACACAATCCACAAAATCACGATGACATATCTCACTACAATGAGCGAAATTCGAGTGATTTACAACACTATCTGCAAAATCACAATGCCAGAGTGATCCACAACACTATCAGCAAAATCAGAGCACCAAACCTCACTACAATAGAGGAAATTCGAGTTATTCACAACACTATCCCCAAAATCGCAATGCTTCATATCATACTAATAAGTCTAAACTTAGCTAAATAATCCAGCAGATTGGTATGTCATCGAAGGTAAATATTCAAAAGGGCAAAAAACACCATTAATATAATTAAATCGAATCAACGTAAAATCATTAACCAAGCTTCAATGGAGGAATCAATACAGCAATCAATTCAGTCAAACTCCACACTATCAATTCAGGCGGAAAAAATAAACCCTAATCCCCTAACACAAGAGCCAAGAACCAATTTCTCCCAAGTGCAGACTCTAAGCATTACGAATTGAACGAAAAAACAAACGAAATCGAAAAAGAACATCACTCCGATTCAAGGAGCTCACCCTTCGCCACTGCAATCCATTTTTTCCTACTGTATTTCTCAAGAATACAATACAATGCCCCCAAGAAAAATAAAAACGATGGAGAAGAAGCCCTTCGAAAGTAACCGTTGCACAATTACATATACACCATTAGCAGAGTCAATCGTAGCCCTCCTAGAGAAGGTATGTTTATAACTTTGACAGAGACCCGAAAAAAGAAAGGAAATTATGTCTATATATATACTACATAATCTGGGCGATTTTCGAAGGAAAAGAAAAGGGAAAGATGTGGTAATAAGGCGGTAGTGGAGGGAGAGTGGAAACTACAAAATGGAGAGCGTGCCTCCGATTTCAATGGTGGTTTTTGACTGAGTAATTTGACCTCAGTCCTATTTATAGCTGTCGGGGTGAACGGGGTGAATTATAGATTTATTCTATCAATATTATTTTTTTAAGTAATACTGTAAATTTTTTTATATATATTATAAGAAATACTAATATAAATATCTATGAAAACAATAAATACTTCTTTTGACTAGTTTAAAAATATACATATTTATTTTTGGTGTAAAATATTTAAAAAAAATAATGTTTTAATTATATTGGATAATTAAAATTTAAAAGTAATATGATGATAATTCTATCTTTGTCTAAAAATAATTATGTGATGGTAAAGTAAAAAATATGTATAAAAAATTGAATCAAGAATTTCTATTTAATTATGTATATGAGTCAACACGAGTCAATCCGAACCTGACACGACAATAAACAGGTCAATATGAACCCAACGCTATAATAAACAGATCTTGAGTTATTTAACACGTTTAAAGTATTCAATCCGACACGAATCGACCTCAGCTCTAAATATTAGTAAAGAATTATTCCACTAAAAAATATTAAGTGAAAAAATTCAAAATATCTACATTTACAAAAATTTTAGAATTTTAAGATCATAAAAAATATCTAATTTAATATTTTTATATTAAAAATATTTAAAAATTATAACTCCTCCCACGACTTGCTCTGGGCATAGGCCATCTGGATCATGTCCATGGCCCAAACGTTTTGGGCTCTTTGTGTCTTTTTTTTTTTAAATTAAAATATATGTAAATAACATAAATACTATAAACATATGTATAATAATCAAATTGTATTACTAAAATTTATTTGATTGCATTTAAATTAAATAGTATTATCTTTTAGTTGTGATATAACCAAAAAATATATATTTTTTAAAATAATTAAATAAGAGTTTTGTTTTTTATTTTTGTTTCGAACCATCGAAAGAATAATCATGTTTCTTCGGTTCCGTTTCAAAATATTATTTTGGATTTTTATTAAATTAAGAGATTTATAGACTATTCTATTAATTGGTAGATGTGTAAAATAATTTTGATATTTTAATTTTTGTATTTTATTTATAAATAAATGATATATGTATTGATATATTTATAATTCATGTAAAAATTAAACTTATTTTTGTATGAATATGTGATACTTTTATTATAATAGAAACTAAATAATTTAAAGTGAAACGAATAAAAATAATAAAAAATATATTTTCAGACGGGACGAAAAGAATATACTTTCTTTGAGTCCACAATATTTATTTTGTCATTTTTGTCTATTCAAATTAAAAATATTTCTTTCTTTCTTTTTTTTTTTTTAATTAAAACTACCTCTCCACAAAATATATACATTGTAATATCATTAATACCAAAAGTAAAATATACTTACATATGTTATATATATATATATTTATAAAATATTAATATACCTACTAAAAATTAATTAGACTGAAGGCTATTAAATCTTACTTTCTCCATCCCACATAATTTGTTCCTATTTTTTATTTTCGTCCGTCTCACGTAACTTGTCCTTTCTATTTTAGGAAATATAATTATGCACTTTAATCGTATTTTAAATTTTATAATTTTTTTAATTTTAATTAAACTATTTACTTATCTTAATCTTAATTTATAATTATTTTCACTAAATAATAATTATTTTTACGAATACACTTTTTTATTATTTACTAATTATATTTTATCTAAATTTCCGTGTCTACAGTAATACATCCATATTATATGGGAGGGAGCAAGAACAAAATTGTACTCCAGTAAGTAGAGGAGCTATAATTTTGACAAAGTAGAAAAGATTTGTAGGGAAGAAAATCAAAGGCTAGTAGGTAGTCAGTCATTTGTCAGATATAAGACAATAATGTTAACATTTCTTAATTTGTTAAAAGTACAATGTTGACAATTTGGATGTTTTTTTTTTTTTTTCTTCTGTTAATTTTTTTAATTTGATCTTGCAAAAATAAAATAAATAAATAAATAAATTGATTGGAGATGAAGGACATATTCCCCGTCCTGGTGCAAGGTTGTCGTTTATTTTTTTTCACGTAAATTTTTAAATATTAGTATTATAATGAATTGTAGTGAAAAAGACAAAAATATCTCTATTAGTATTGTGTAATATAAAAGTAATGATATTTGTGTAATATAGTGTAAGTTTGAAGGGTATTTATTATATTAGGTATGTAGTACAGTTACTAAATTAGGAAATGGTAACCTTGTTTTGGAACGGACGAAAATAAAAAATAACAACATTTTAATGGAACGGATGAAGTATAATATATTATTTTTAAAAAAAAAAATGTTAGAAAATTTGTATTGAAAGAACAAAATCGAATTACTTAGAAGACCTTGTAATAATAGAAAAATATATTGCACATAAGTCATAAATTGGAGATGATCTTATACATATTTTAATATAAAATTAGGTAAATAAAATGCTAGTATTGTGTGCATTAATCATAAAACACAATAGAATACTAAGCAATTTACCTATAATTTCTTTTAATATAATTTTTATATATTATTTTTATTTCATATACCATCTTGCTAAATCTTCATATTAAATTATTGTATTTACTTAAAACAAACAAACAATAAATAAATAAATAAATAAAAATGCATTATTTTCTTTTAATAAAATATAAAATCAAATTAATATTTAAATCAATTTTTTTTAAAAAAATCTATAGTGAAAGTTCTTTTGTTTTTATTTTTTTTCTTGTGCTCCTAGTTTGATTATTTTGTAATATAAAATGATTAATGAATTTAATATTTTATACCAGTATTTTTAATTTAAAGTATTTAACATATGAGTTGTAAAGAATAATATTGATAATATAAATATTTTATATTGAATAATGACTTTTCCGTGAGAAAATATAACATATATTATCAGGACTGTTCCTGAATTTTAGTGAGTCCCGGGCAAAAAAACCGGACCTTGTTTACTTATTGTATATATAAATAACAAAAATATATAATTTTTTTTGGCTTGTTTGCTTTTATTAAAAATAAAATATACTATATATATATTTTTTTTATAAAATATTATATTAAAATATATTTAATAAAAATTTAAATTCCAATATAATCAAATAAATTTTAACATAAATATTTTAGATGAAAAGGGATCCTACAAGGCCCCAAAAATTTTGGGCCCTGGGCGTGGGCCTAAGTGACCCGTACCCAGGGCCAGTATATTATATATTAAAATTTGTGTTTGGTAAATGTTAATTGAGCAAACAAATCCTATTACATATTTGTTTTGATTGCATTCCAAATTTTTACTATTTAATTTTCTTTGTTATTAATAAAAATATGTATATTTTATAAAAATAATACATATCAAAATACTATTTAAAATAAAAATTTAAATAAAAATATAATCAAACACAAGCCAAACAACCCTCAACTTAAAAAATATATTCACAATTACATTTTATTTATATTCTACGTAAAAATTAATAATTATTTTATAGTATAAAACATCGAGTCAAATTAATAAAATAAAAATATCCACCTCCAAGTTAACAACATATATATTTATAAAAAATAATATTCACTCTATCAGTTAAATTTATCTATTTTTATTTATTTTATCCGTCTCAATTTAAAGTACCACTTTTTACCATCTTTGTATGTCCGATTTCAAAATATCAATTTCTTATTTTGAAAAAAATAATCATACTTTAATATTAAAATACCTTTAATTTTTACTTAAATTATAAACGTACAATTACAAATACAATTACTTTTTACGTAAAGTTAAAAAACAAAAATATCAAAATCTTTTATACAATTTCACTAACTAATAAAATATTAGTATTATAATGATTAATATACTACAATACCCCCAAAGAGCCCCTCTAGGAAGGAACGGAGGGAATATATTATAAATAACAATAATTATAAAATCTACTTATGGTGTGTTTGTTTGGGGTTTGAATTTTGAGTTGGAATTTGAATAGTAAAAAGTTTGAATTTGAATAGTTGTATGATGTGATATAAATAGGTGTTGATGTGATGTTTTAAATGTAAAATTGATTTTTAGTATAATATAAAAAATAAAAAATAGGTGTTTGATTTAATATTTTTGGGGAAAAAAAATTGGATGAATAGTAAAAATTTTGCAAAATCTTGCAAACGAACACACCCTTAAATTTTTTCGTTATTTTAATTAGATAATAAAAGTTTTATTAATGGGCGATTATAATGTTGAATATTATTATTCAACATGACACCATGTGAAATATAAATGAAAAACTTAATAGAATATATTTATACAACATATTAATAATAGTCCATACAATAAATATTATTATTGATATACATAATATATATTAATTACTATTGAGACAAAGACATATAAAGTATGAACTAACAATACAATTATAACAATCTATATCACACGTGATATATTAATTCAAGCCGTTTATAAAAATTTATATTTCATGAGCCGTTAATACAATACTGATTAATCTCTAATCAACAACGCTTTAACTCATTTTTCTAATTAAATTATATTTATACGATCGGCTAAACACATTCACCGCATAATGCTCTTACCTAACTTCTACTTCTACTTTTACATTGTAATACTCTCTCCTATTCATATCTATCTATTCATTTACTTTTTGCATGGAATTTTAGAAATATTAGTATTATATTGAAATATAATAGAAATAAAGGTAAAAAGACTAAATTACCCTTATTAGTATTGTATGATATAAAAATAATGATATTTGTGTAATATATTGTAAATTGAAAGGGTATTTGTAATGTTCGGTAGACAGTACAGTTACTAAAAAAGGAAAATAGATACTTTATTATGTGATGAACCAAAATAGAAAAATGAATAGATTATTAATGAGACAGAGAGAGTATTATATTTTCTTAATATGTCATTTAACGCATTTT